CAGTCAGGCAAATAAGAGAAAATTTGGCTTCTGTCAATACAACGATTGATCTTGTGGAGCGGAAGTCTGCGAGTGTGCATGAGCAGCTAGCTCTCTGTATTAAGGGACACTTTGGACGACATGAATGGTCAGATGCGCAGGAACAATCTGATCTCTGGCGGTTTGCCTGAACGCGAAAATGAGACCTGGAATGACACCAAACAACTGATATCAAATTTCATCAAAAATAAGCTCACGCCAAACGTTGGCGAAATTGAAAGAGCGCATCGTCTTGGGCCAAAACGTCTCAGTTCGAATCGTCCCATTATTGTCAGATGAATCAGTTTTAAAAACAAAGATAATGTACTCTTGAATGCTTCAAAACTAAAATATGTGTCACGCAGGGTGTGGATTTCGGAGGTCTTTTCTCCAAAATTGCGTTTCAAGTGAAAGAATCTGTTGGAGTTTGCCGCGTGATTTAGGGGAGCCGCATGTTAGATACAAGCGTCATTTGATAGATTGTATGTTGGTAGTAAAATATACGTATATGACAGTGTTACTGAAACCGATATTCCAATTCAAAGACCGCGTGAAGTTCCCCGTGCAGATGACTAACAACCCCGGAATGCGCGCAAATCTTCTGTTGAGCACTCTTTGTCTTTTTTGCAGTAAATTTTCGTAGTGTGCTTTCTAAACAGGTAGAATTTGAATGCATCACCGCGTCTTGCGAAACGGACTTTATCATAGGTACTGAAACGTGTTTGACATCATGCGTATACGATAAGCAGCTGATATTGAGCAAAGAGTACAATGTATACCGAAACGATCGCCTTCGCACAAGGGGTGGCAGTGTACTTTTTGCTATAAGGTCCCATCCAAAATGTACAGTAATATCTTCCGACTCCTTGCTCGAAACCCTGTGGGTACGCCCTCAGCTGGGTTATCGTAGGTTATTAATTGGTGTTAGTTATCAGCCGGCCAATTCAAATATAAGTGATTTTCATGACGCCACGTATAGCTCTTTGAACACTTAATAGAATCCTACCCAAACGATCATCTAATATTAGCTGGCGATTTTAAATTCTTCGGAATTGACTGGCCGACTCTCATCCCATCCACGCAGTGTTCGGATCCCGCTCAGTGCAATGATTTTCTTGCCATGGTAGGCTGTTTCGGATTGCACCAACTTGTAAACTCCCCTACGCGTATTGACGCGATTTTAGGTCCATTTCTTGTTAACAATAGGAACCATGTAAGCGCCACAAATGTTCTCTACTTTATTAGCGATCATGCAATTGTCCACGTTCAGACATATTTTTCTTTTGGAAACCGCGGAAATAAGTGCAAGCAAATGTTTAACTACGAGCCCTTCTTCGTCTATTTGCGCACAATTACGCTCACTTCGCCCTAAGGTCCATGAGGCATAATCTGTCGGCACTTCCGTACCGTCATCGTTCTTGTGAGAAAGAACAGCACCAATACCAACCGGTGAAGCATACCACGAGAGAACTAGTGGAAGCGCTGTCTCGTACCGCACTAGCAATGCGTCAGAAATAAGACGACATTTTAGATTCCGGAATGCTTTCTCATGTCCTGCGTTCACATCCATTTTATTTCTTGGTCAATAAGGTGACGTAGTGGCTCGGCGAATTCAACTTTCCTTTCAAGAATTATGCTGTAAAAGCTGAGTAGCCCCAAAAAGGCTTGTAGTTCTTTCATTCTCTTTGGGCTCGGCGGGTTCTTGATAGCCGTCATTTTCTATGTCCTTGGGTGAACACCACTAGAATCAATTTTGTGACACAAGTACTCGGTTCTTATTTTACTAAACTCACACTTCAGCCGCAAACGCAAGTCTTGAAAACGCCACATCACTGATCTTAATTTTCATCCTGCTCCGCCATGGCAGAGTTTGAGAAAACGATAACATCGAGATATACAACAACTCCTAGTATACCTGACAGTAAGCTGTCTACAACACACCGGAGCAATCCTGGCGCGTCAGATATACCAAGAGGAATTCGGTGAACCTTGCAAAGTCCTCTCAGTGTATTCACAGTGAGGACTTCTGCAAATTCGTCATCTAGAACGAGCTGCTGATAGGGTTAAGCTAGGTCACCTTTCGTGAATATATTTGTAGATCCTAGAGTCGCAAACAACTCGGTGACAATCGGTAGTGCGTAAACGTTGGTCTTTACCGCCTTGTTGCCTTTGCTACGATGATCACCTCACAAGCGTAATGTTCCGTTTTTCTTTCCTACCACGACGAGTGCTGTGGCCCAGTTAGAGTATTGGGTTGGTTTTAGGATGCATGGCTTTTCCAGGCGGTCGAACTCCTTGGTCACATCCTTTTGATGAGCTGCACGTCGTTGAGCTCGATGTGGATCGGAGCTCCCTTGAACCCGGGCCATTCGGTGCAAAAAGCCTCGAGAAACCGCGCCGTTAGCGCTTCGTCCGACGTGCTAACCTGTCGAATGCCGTATAATTCGATGCCTAACGGTAAAAACCAGTTTTGCCCCATCAAGCTTCATTCGTGTTGTGCCACGACTAGGATGGGCAACACATCCTCGCGTCATTTAAGCATGACACTTAACATTGCTTTTTCAGCTGTGGGGAATGTTTCTTTTTGACCAGGTTCACAGCTTGATGGATATGCTCTCGATGGGAATCTGTCCCTTGTCTACCTGGCGAAAAGTTTCTTCGCTCATAATAGAGCAAGACGTTCCAGATTCAGCTTCCATGATTACGCCTTGCTGGCTCTTTCACTGGCAGTAGAAAATGTTCTTCTGTTGCATGCACCTCATAGATTGAACGTAATTCGTCTACTTCGTTGACGCTATCACCTTATTTCGTGCTCTTCTCTTTCTTGACCGTTGCTGTCTTAAGTTGTTTGGCATACCTCTGCTATATTCCCTTTCTTCTGGCACTTGTAACAGACAGAAAGTTTGAATTTGCACAGGAAAGGTATGTGATTAACGGTGCAGCGGGAACTGTTTCCACTCTCTACTTGCTTGGGAATTTTCGCTGTTGTCTCCTGAACTTTACCGTCAGAGTCGACTTTACCGGTCTGATTGCCCCTGCTTCCTCATGCCTCGCTGCTGCTGCGACGTTGCCTTTAAAAAGACGGCCAAGTCGTAGGCTACATTGAATGACAAGTTGTGCTCAGCCAAAAGTCGTTGCTGCACCCTCTCGTACGAGATGCCGCAGACGAACCTGTCTCGCATCATGATGCCAAGTGGCAGTTGCTTGTCTCCGAAGAGGCGCTGTCGCGTAATCTGCCACTGTTTCATCGGCATGTTCGTCATGCTTGTAGAACAGGAACCTTGCGTAAAATTCTGATTGTCTTGGGTACACATGAACCTTGACCAATGACACTGTGGCGACAAAGTCCTCAGCTATTGGTCCCGTCGGCTTCACCAAGGTGACGATTAACGGATACGTTTCTTCTCCCCAGCAGTTCAGCAGAACAGCACGCTTCTGTTCAGGCGTTGTCAGTCTATTGGCTACGTAGTACATTTCGAGCCGTTCTATCTACTCGTCCCGGAAAGCGTTGGCGCTGAGGCGATACTCGCTGATACCGCCCTCCGCCATCCTCGGCGTCTGTTTTGCGGGCTCCGACCCGGTGTCTTCGTCCGCCTCGTCACCAATTGTTGTATGTTACGCAAGTAGACTAATGGCGGATACTTTATACTTTACTTGAAACAGGCGCTCTTATATGATCATGGCCCGTTGCCGACTATAGAAAAGCACCTAATTTCGTTAGACATCTCTGTCGCAGCTGCAATCTGTTGACATCCTTACGTCTCCTGCTTTTACAGCTGTAGGTGTTGATCATGCTGGCTTGCCATAAAAAAAAACACGGGTTGATGTCTAGACCTTTTATTTCATGTCACATATGCGCAACTTCTACGTCTGTAGTTTCCCGAGCTTCGGTGCAATAGGCAATACAGGGAAACATGCTGGACACGGCGCACCATATCTTGATTCGCTACGTAACTGCTAGGCAGTAGGGGCAATGCAAAATAACCTAACCTCACAATCGACAATATGAAAGGCACAACAAAAGTAGTTTTCATTTTATTATACATCAAAGGTAGATCGAAAGTATGAAAGTATGTTACATGAGGGAGGACAAATTTGAGCAGGTAAATCGATTAAAACAGCTGATTAGGAACATGGTGTATAGAAATATTGATAACGACAAATTAAAACTATATACGTGTAGGAAATACAGGTGGTGATAACTAAACATGAAAATTATGATTAGTTTGGAAATGTTCGTTGCACAGATGTCTGAATTTAAAGTTATTAGTTTAATTTACAATTAATCGAGGAAAATAATTCCAGCAATTAATGGCTAGATCCATTGGGGAGTTCTTAAATTTATTAGTCTTCGGAAATAATGGCCTAATTTTTAGGTTAATGTCAATGCGCATGGAAAGGAATGATGCTGGTTTGTAAGTAAAGGTCACGAAAAGAGGAGGGGGAAGCGAATATTTTGTGGAAGGTGACAAGACGGGAGTTATTGGTTTTTTCGGACAATGTGCACAAGTCGAGAGCAGAGTTTAATGAAGATATGCTGGATTTTTTAGAGTAATCTTGTGATTTGAAACGACTAGTCACTATAGTATTACTAACATCGCTGATAATGTTTCGTTTATACATGCTAAGACTAAAATGTACACTTTATAGTTATTAATTTACAGGTCTCATGCCTGTTCAATGCACTTACCTTGAGGGTATTTGAGCTAAATAATAAATAACTAAAATACGGTTATTCCGAGTGAGCTATAAAGGCTACAAATTCTGCGACGAATCTTACAAAGGCTGGCACCCCAGGCCGTCATCTGACATGCTAGCGTATAGCGGGATATCATCTTCAGAACGTTCCGAGTCCTCGTCACCAAGGTTGATCAGTATCCTGTCGGCACTGTTGACGACGTCATCGATGATGTGGTCAACTTTCCTCATAGTAACCTTTTCCTCCATGACTCGGCGAACACAATGTGCCGACTTCTCAGGTGTTACTTCAGCGAAGCCCCCGAGACCAACGGTTCAAGGTTGGCAAACTTGAACGTCTTGATTTGGTCGGCCACAAACCCCCTCACCATACTCCGAACCACTTCGATTGGGTTGAGCTGGCAGTGATAAGGGGGCAAGCGTAAAACTGCGTGGCCAGCCAGGAGAGCCATCTGATCAACACGGTACTGGTTGCCCTGAATCTTCACTGTTGCAGCAAGCTGCAGTAGCTCGGCATTTACCATTTCATTGCTCCACGCAACACCCTTTCTGGAAGGCCAGTCCAAAATATTCTTTATTCGTGTCGACATCTGGGGAACTTTTTCAATCTTCACTAAATGATAGGGTGCATTATTCATGGCAATTACACTGTTGGGGGCAAGCTTTGGGAGCAGCTTCTCGCTGAACCATTTTTCATAATGTGGCCCGTCCATCTCTTGGTTGTAGTCACCCGTGCCTTTCCACGCTCGGAATACTCCTCCCGCACCATCAACGAGGCCCTGTTCGTTGCCGCAGTGGGTGATAATGGGTCGCTTACCTTTACCGCTTGAATTTTTCAATCCGGTAGTAAGTCCAGAACGTCTGGCCTGACTTGAACTTACGATAGTTGTGTCTATCCAGACACGATATTTCGTGTGCCCAGCGTTTGCCCATGTTTCGTTCATAAAATATCTGCCTTCCCTCTTTGCGGAACTCTTTGATCTGCCGAAGGTAGCTCCATCACCACTGTATGACGTTAGGGCCCTCAATCAGATGCGCGTTCTACTTCGTTCGTGGTACTTGAAGCCGAGCTTCTTAAGCATTCGGTTCAGCGTAGATACCAAGACTTGCGGTAGGTCGTCGCTCTCACTGAACAGCTTTCTCACCTTCGCAACAGTTGGCATCTCATTCCTGCGGAAGAAATCGTGCACCTTTATTCTCAGAACACCAAGGTCGAAGTCGTCAAGTTTCTTCGTTCGTTCGCAGTTCTTCCCGCCTCTGGACTTGGTTTGCGGAGTTGGCATTCTGCCGCTCTTCTGAAACTCGGCAGACCACTTGTACAGCGCCCGTTCACTCACAGCAGTGAGCTGCGCCGTTCTTTGAAAGATGCTCGTGGTGTTTGAAGATTTTCTTGCCTCTTTCGTTAAAACTTCTAGTACATTCATTGCTATTTGTTTTGCCTGTTTTGGAAAAACGAAAGCTTGGAGCGATACCTCATTGGCGACACGGCGGTAGCCATCTGGCAATAACCGAAGTACTACGTGAAAAACGCCTTCCGCTGTCACGAATTCAGAAAACAATAAAAGAGCTTTATAATATAACTCATGCTTATTTGTTGCTTTAGTACCAAATCTGTAGTGTTTCTACATAAACAAAAAAATTATATGAGTGCCGCAAATCACTTTTATGTTCGTGATATATCGGAACTCATTCTTGAGTATTACTCAATTAAGCAAGCAAATGATACAGAATGAATTCTTGAAATGAATTATTTTCAAACAGAGTTTTTCGATTAAGTACATAAACATTTACCTTGACGGTGTATGCACAAATATAAACGCAAAACTCGTGTATTTTGTTGGAACTCTGTTTTTTTTCACGCAAGAAGTTGCCTGTTGACATCTCATAGGCTCCACTGCCCTGCACAGAACTTCTGGCTCGGAGTATAGATAGCCCATGACGAGATGTCCCGCTGCGTCCAGTTCCCCTATCAAGTGTTGGCTATCACGAGCTGCCTTGTGACGAGTTCCCTTAGACCCACATGGGAGTGCGCGCTAGAGTATCAGAAGACGTTTGATGTCCTTACCAAAATGTTTACTTAAGATTGTTTGCTGACTTATTTCAAGAAGGATGCTCCACTTGTGTCGTCATGCGATGTGTCACAAGTGGGAGTAGGGGCAGTGTTATCTCATCAAGATGATCAGGGTCGCGAGCTACCTATCACTTATGCCTCAAGGATACTAAACAAAACAGAAAGAAACTATGCTCAAAAAGTTTGAAAAGCGTGTCTATACTGTTTGGCTTTCGACTTTTTTGTCAGTGTATTTGCGGAAGAACAGTTTCTATAGTAACATACCAGAAACGTCTTCGGGGCAATTTTTTTGGCATTTTCCAAACCCAGAAACAAGTTCCTTTCGTGTTCTTACCGCGAATACTGCAATGGGCACTGGAGTTGTAGGTTTACAGAATGGTATGACAAAAAACGCAGGACCATGATAATTCAGACCGTCTCAACCGTCTGCCTTCTCATGGCACTGTCTCAGCAGGCTGACAGTGCGGTTAACCCGCAAACAACCAGATAATCCTGGAAACGTGCTACCTCTACCAGCTGCTCAGTGTTCACCGGTCACCGCAGTGATGCTGGCGAAAGAGACCTTGAAAGACCCTCACGTGAAACATGTCATGAAGTGGAATCGACAAGGTTTGCCAGAAAACGTGTCAGTGGAGTTATGTGTGTACGGGGAGACAAAAAACGAAATTTCGGCCCAGAAACATTGTTTGTTGTAGGGAACTAGAGACACTCTACCCATGTCAATGAGGAAGGAGGTGTGGCTGTTGCTTCATGAGAATCACCCAGGAATAACTGCCATGAAGGGTATCGCAGGCCAAAATTGATGCGGTCATCGAAGTGTTTTTAAAGCACTGCAAACAATGCCAACATAATCGGCAGAATAAACCCTAAGGGCCTACACATATCAGGGTCAAGCCCGATAGGCCTTGGAGCTGAATTCACATTGATTTCGCCGCGGTGGTTCACGCATTTTTAAATTGAGAGGCGTTTGAAATGATGCCATCACTAAGCTCCACGGTGGTTGTCAAAACGTTGCGCAGACTGTTCGCGTCGTATGGACCATCTAATTTTGTGTCAGGTAATAAATGAAACGGCTTTTGTAAGATATAAAACGCAGGAGTTCTTAAAAATTGACGCATTCAAAGTATGTGAGGTCAAAACGGCACTCAAGAAACAAACTTAAGTAACGGCGGCTTGCAAAATGTCCAGGTTCTTGTTTAAACAGCATTCGATGCCCAAGCCGGTACAGAAATCACCAAAGTGGTGTTCTTGGCGGGAGCTACGCTCTTCATTAGACAGGCTTCGTTCCAACCCCTAAGTGGATCTCAGCGGCGCGTTGAGCGAAATAAATAGCGCGTTTGTGTGTCGGGATCTTTTTTAATGTGCTGAATTTCGGTGCGGGGGCTAAGTCATTAGCAGCACAAGTCCTGAAACCCTTCAAACATGTGATTTACAAGGCGCACACTTCTGACGGCGTGACACCATCGACGAACGACGCCTTCAAGCTGCCAGCCACTACTCAGTCAAGACGCCCTCAGCGCAAGCGGAGCCTCGGCCCGGCGATGCTCCACCGGAAGCCGCATCGCAGTCAAGTTCGCTACCGCCGCGTCGTTCGACACGAGAAAGAAGACCTGTTCAGCGGTATGGCATTGACAACAACTAAGGACGAAGAGATCTGATGATCCGGCATCTAACAAGATTAAACATTTCGTGATAATCCAGCGACTGCTTGGCACGCCCGCTGTGTGTGCCTGCAATAACAAAGCATGCGCTCAGGGCGTGCACGCTATATTAGCAGCCGCGGATATTGCAATAAACTTATTAATTCTGCACGCAGCCTTGTTTAGCGTCAGTCATTGCAGATCGCTTAGTATTTTTTACTTTACTGTTCTCAGTGTTGTTTTCATTACTGGTCCGTGTAAATTATGCGCACCTAGAGTTGATGTAGATACTTTATCTTAAATGCGTTGATCTGTGTGAGCCTTCGTCCAATAGTAAGTTCGCGCTTCGGATATGCCTCACGTTTTGGTGGCCGTTGATTCAATGATGGTATACTTTGACCAGTACTTTCGATTGAATAACGAGGTGGCTGTTGAAAGTGCTGGCGTTTAGGGACATCAGGATTGAGAACTTGTTTTCGCCTATGTATCACGTCTGCCCAATCTTGATTCTGTCATTTTGCACGTTGGCACAAATAAGTTCAACACTGTTAGTGCGAGTGTGCACACTGATAAGTATCGGAGGCTGACCGCTGAGATCTTGAAACGCAAGGACGACGGAAAAGGCAACAGGTTGCCTTTTTCGTCGTCGGTAAAAGACTCGAGAACAGGTCCTCTTCACTGGAGTGCCAGCGTAGCCACTGGTCTGAGATACAGGCGCTGAACGAACAATGCCAAGATGTGAACTCGTTGTTACAGGAACTCTGAAGCAAGAAGGAATTGGTGTTTATTGGCGGCTTGGTGCAGGGGAGGCATCAATGAATCAATCTTGGATAGGTGCACCCAAGCCAGAGTAGCACCAAGGTATGTTAGTCTTTGGTAACTTTGAAAACAAGCGCCTCTTTATTCTTATGATACACCGATTTACTGCGCTGGCTTGCGCTGTGCCTCAGCTGTGCATATGTGACACACCTTGAATGTCGTTGCCTTTGCACTGGGGAAGACACTTAAAACTAAAGAGTTGAAGTTCCATGCACTTTTTGCCGGGGCAATCTCTTGACACTAAAGCACCCATGTCGTACCATCCTGCATTTTTTTTACAGAGTTTTTGTACCAGCATGCCCGAAACATCACGGAGAATATGATTAGGGCCAGGATTCAGCTGGACCACATAGAAAGGACATCAAAGGCTAGTTTTCCTCGGACCTGCTCGAGAAGGAGTATCCAACCGACCACAACAATTATTGAATTTTTATCGCTTCGCTGTTCTGGCTGTATTCCCTCGCCTGCTTGCTTCCGCACTCTTCCCTCTGCTTCCTTCTGCTGCGTCTGTACCCGCACCTCCTTCTGCCATCTCTGTGCCTTTCCCTCCACTTCCTCCTACCAACTCGGTTTCCTTTCCTCTGCTTCATCCTCCTACTCCTTCGCTTGCAAGCGCACTTGTGTTTCCAAGGCAGCTGCTGAACGGGGAGCCACCTGGCCAGAAATGTCAATATCTTCCGGCCCTCCAGACACAAAAATGAGCATGATTTCTGAGCTTGGCTTGGTGACAAGCCAGCGTGGCATTAGATCTCAGAATGCTGACCGAAGGCACAGACGAGAGTAGCTCTCCTGTATGTTGAGGATTGGTCACTGTAATTTTAGCTTCAGGCTGGTAGCGGGTGTCCGAGTACGAAACAAAGGCAATCGTGCATGGAAAACCTAGCACTATATGTTCCTCTCCACCTCGAGGTCGCCTTTCAGATACGCACCCGCTTGGGGAAAGGCCAAACAGATACCGGAAGGACAGCAACCGTCTGAGAAATCTATGACGCCAGAGTGAGTTGGAGTCCCAGCTGATGAAAGCAGTACTGAGGCTTGGGCAGAGGGGCATGCGAGAGCCACATTTTAGAGTGCGCAGCTTTTGTGGATGGTGGTGAGAGATCACCGTGTGTAACGACTGAGGATAGGGTAGTCAACCCTGATTCAAGTTTTGTTTGTTAAAGTGAGTTGCCATTGGTGAAGCCCATGAGCAGGGGACGCAAGTCTCTTGGGTTGCATAAGTCACGAGACCATACTGCTACTCCTGTATCCCCCATGAACACTTGGGATAATGGAGACGTGGCATTGGGATGCCTTTCGGGAGCTTTGCTTGTGTGTGAATCTTTCTCATCTGTGCCTAGATACTTTACAGCGGTTTTTGTGAAAAGCATGCTTCTGAGGCCCCACTGCAAAGCCGTGCGGCTGTGGCAGAGAAGCTTCTAAAGCCTCACTGCGCAGCCGTGAGGCTGTGAAGGATGCTCGCTGTGACAAACATGCTTCTAAGGCCCCACTAGTAATGTGACTGTCAAGAATGCTGGCTGTGACAGTTATGCTTCTGAGACGCCACCGCACATCCGTGCTCCTATGACGGATGTGAGTGCCAGCTTGGCGGATGGCAGTAAAGCATGCGCTGTGAAGCTTGGAGACGACAGCAGCAAATGGCCTCTGAATCCATAGTAAAAAATCAACAGGCCGTCGTCATGGTAGTTGGAAGTTTTTCTAAGCATCTCAGTATTTTTGTAGACATCCACACCCTCTCCAGCTTCCGTGCTTT